ACGCCAGCAAACTCATAACGGAGGCTTCGGTTATCAAGGGCATGCTCGCGATGGCCACTGACCCACATGTTCGGCTACAACAATACCGATATCAGATCGACGCGCTGGCAAAAGAGCAGAAAGACACCTAAGAGAAAAAAGAGAATATTTGCAGACCAAGGCCGATGCCAACACCCAGCTCATCGCAAACTTGGAGCGCCCCGTCACGGATGTCAAGCTCGAGATTGCCGCCGAAGCCGACACGGACTGCGAAGCTGACTCTGAGGATGACCAAAAGCAGTACGAACCTAAGAGACCCAACGCCCCATTTCGTCGTCGCGCCAGTCGAGAGCCTCCATCCTCGCGCTCGAGAAGGCCGACCTCACCATCAAACAGCATCGCTGAGCAGCTCAGGCAGAAGGATGAGGAAGCGCGCCGAGAATGGAGGAGCCACGTCAAAATCGCCAACGCCGAGCTCCGCAAAAAGACCGAAGAGTACGAGGAGGAGGTCGAAGCCATGCGCCAGTGCTTCGCAGAGATGAAGATGCAAAGCCGCGACAGGCTCGTGCACCACGAGCAGGAGCTCTCCAAGACGGCTCTGAACGCCACGGAACAAGCCGCATCAAGGAACAAGGAGGCACTCCGCCGCCAAGAAGCACAACAAGAGCGCGTGTTCCAGCAGCGGGAAGAGCTCGTCCGTCAGGTATACGCCGGGAGGATGCAGCAGGAAACGCAAAGGATGGAGAACCACGAGCGTGCGATGAGATACGACCTACAGCATCAGAAGCTCACCTACGAGCAGAAGCGCCAGGAGGCCTACTACATGCTCGACGCCATCCGCGCGGAAACGGCCACCCAGACCAGCACCGCAACTCCCTCCGGGGAAGCAGCCCGCCAGCAAGCACAGAGTGAACAACTCCATCGTGAGTGCGATCGCCTGCAGCGCGAGGGCCAGAGGATAGAGAAGATGAACCAGGACCTCCACCTCGAGGAGCAGGCCGCGCATGCCATGGCAGCCCAGGAGATGCACAGAACAAAAAACATATATTATAAAAAATGCCGAGCAGATCGCGGGGGCCCAAGCGGACCTAAAGCGAGAGGGGATCCACCAAGAGCAAGTGATTCAGCAGCAGACGGTCATCGCGGCCACGCAGCTCTTGGAGGAGCACTCCGCGGTCCAGAGGGAGCGCGAGGTGGTCTACCAGCAGGCGGAGCTCCAGCTCAAGGCGCAGCGCCATATCCCCCCCCCCCCAAAAAAAAAAAACACGACCAGCCTGAAGCCAAGGAAGCAGCGCACCAACGAGCAACCCTACAGCACCAGCTCTTCTTCAACGAGGTCCAGGCCCTCCAGCGACAGCTGCAGCACAGGACCGAGCATGACCAGCACCAACGCGAGCAGTTCCTGGAGAGATACGGCCAGCACGAGGCGGAGATACACCAGCAGCAGCAGATCGCCAACACTGAGCTACGAGCCGCACTGGCACAGCGACAATCACAGGAAGAGCATCACCGCGAACAGCTGGTCCGACAGCAGGAAGAGCACCGCGTACACCAAGCACTCCTTGAGAAGACCTTGCGGGAGCAGCTCGACAGTATTGCGCCCAGGATCGACACAGACATGCTCGACAGCGTCGCCAGCGCCTTCACCACGGAAACCGAAAAGCAAAATATGCAAGCCCAAGCTGACGATGAGGAGACCCGCCAGCGGGACAACATGCGCTCCGCTCTCCACGCCATCGCCCCGTCGCACGAGTTCGACTACGACGTGGCCCGCGAACCGTACTACGCCGAGCTCGACCAGATGGCAACCCAGAAGATGGCAGCACTTCGTGGCGCTCCCTCATCATCAGGATCTTCGAAAGGTTTGACGTCGCCCTTCTACTGCAGCCTCTGCCAGATCTGCGGTAACTACACCAGCTGCAAGACGGAGATCATCAGGTGCAGGCACTGCGGGAGCGAGAGCATCGACGACCGCTCCGCGATCTCGGCCACAACGGTACGTACCCAACGACGCAGGAGCTCGACCAGGTCGCCAATCTGCACAACAAACCGAAGCCGCAAGCTCCAGCACAGCGGTCACCGCCACTCCCACCACCAGCGATGCCACCATCGCAACAACTCTACCCCTTCATCGACCTCGTATCCCCAACGGAAGCCGCTCCGGCGCCAGCGGCGGGAGACGGAACGCCCACGAAGACCCCGAAGATGCACGAAAGCTTCTTGGCTGCGACGCCCACCCCACTCCACACACGACACGCAGACGACCAGAGCTTCGACGACCCCAACGACCGCGACCTCGGCGACCCGACGCACGCGCCGACAGTCCAGGCGTCGCCGACCCCAGCTGACGAGCAACCGACTCCAGGTGCTCCCTGGGGGGCAGGACCCTTCCTGCCCCCCCGACCCCCATGGCCGTCCCCCCACCGCGGCCACAGTCCGCGCCGCTCCCCGACGATCCCGACTCCCCACGACCCTTCCGACCGACTAACGCACAGACCACCCTACTTGGGAAATCAAGCTCCCCCCCCACGTTCCCCTATCATGCTCGAAGTCGGCCCCCCCTTCGCACCCACCCAACCCTTCTCCCCGAAGCCACTTCCCGCGCGCTTCCACATCGCCACCCCCGACCGAGCCAGATCTGCACCACCTTCGGCCCTCCGCAGGACAAGCGCCCACAGCAGGCCAGCGCGCAAGGTCCGCATCTTGGGCGACGGCGACGGATTCGACAACCCAATGGACCGAAGGCGCTTCAACCCTGAGGGTCAGGAGGGCAGCTCGGGCTCAAGCTCGGACACGACAAAACTGAGCAGGACTCCCCCCGCTGGGGGGCGACTGGCCCAGCGGGGGAGTCCCACCACCACCTCGCCAGAAGACCGAGCACCTAGCCCGCTCAGAATGGCTATATGTAGCTACCTGCTCATCGGAGCAACCACTGAGCCCCAGCAGACATGCTGTGCGACCCGTGCGGTGCCAGCCACTCAGCGACAGGCCCCGACGCGTTTACAGCCGCGCGCTCCACTCGGTGGCCCGCCGACCGCCTCAGCGGTGTTCGCCTGTGGGTTAGCACACCGCGCGACGCCAGCGGCAGGACAACCTAGCACATCACAACCAGCGACAGCGACACAAAAAACTACAACCCATAAAAAGACTAGCTTCAGCACTACCAGCGAGTGGGTAATCTACTCAGCCGCGGCGCCTTGGGATCAGGACCGCGCCCCTGGCAGCTCGCAGGCACCAGCAACCATGATTGCACCAACCGTCGGACCCAGGGCCATCCCCTCGGCCGACCACCGCAGTGCAACAACAACCCCACCAGGGCGGCCAGCGAGGCCAGACGGGGCAAGCCCCCATCGACCCGACCGACCCGCTCTCCAGAGACGAGCCCAACAGAGGGCGAACCAGGCGACCAGCCAATTTGGCTCTAAGGCGCCGAACCTTTTTTCTCCAGAAGGGCCCGCCGAGGCGCCCCACCAGGAGGCCCACCGACGACAGCAGCAGCAAGGCCTGCAGCAGCCGCCGCAGCAAGCAAGGACTGCAGCCACCTGAGGAGCAGCACCAAGACTTACTCCACAGGCCCCTGTCAGCTGGACCTCGGAGACCCCCCGAGGCCAGCCTGCCAGCTCCGCCATATTCATCCTCAAGAGAGCCCCCCCCAGGACCTCAGACGGCCCACCAGAGGCCAAGATTACCGACGCCTCAGAACCAACAGCGGCGCCACTGCTGATGCCTTAGATGCGCCGCGAAGACGCGGCGCAGACGCCAAGAGGCGTCGACGCAGCACCGCCCGCCCCTGCGGCCGCGAACTGTATAGACCCACGAGAGATCCACGACATCGAAGCGACCTGCCTTGACACCCAGCAAACAAACAGGGGATGCGCCAGGCAACCCTTTCGCTCGCGCACCTCTGCCATCCCACCCCCCCCCCACCCCCCCCAACATCGACGCGCCCGACCGACGCCCAAGCGCCACCTCTCACCACCGGCCAGCGCCCTCCACTGGCGAGAGGGAAGGCCACTCAACCCTTCAGAGCCACCAGCGTCAGGCGTCCAGCACCACCCGCCCAGCCAACGACAGAGCCCGCCACGCCACCCCTACCGCTTCAGCAGCGTAGAGTGCACTTCGACGAGCGACCTACCATCCGACAAACGATCCAGCAAACTCCACCTCCCGACCTCACCTTTGACTTCTGCGACGAGAGCCTCAACGAGCTAGCCGACTACATGCTCCGTCACTACCCACAGCGACCACTCCAGGAAGGAGCAAAGATCCACCTCTTCACGGACGGCTCCAAAAATCCGAGGCAGCCGAGCGACGACGCCTGGTCCGTGGTGATCGTCGGTGACGACAACCACGGCTTCAGCTACCAGGGGGCCATCGTCGGAAAGCACAAGAGCGGCACCGATATCGCCCTCAAGGACAACAGCGACCACGAGACGACCTCCACGACCGTCGAGATCACTGCCCTAATATGGGCTCTCGCCTGGGTGACCCACTACAACCCCGACCACATCACCACGATATCCACGGACTCGCTCGGCGCCCTGCAGCTCCCGAAGAGGCTCGCCTTCACCGTTCATGACCCTAAACTCGTCAGGACTCTCTGCATCCTCTACGACATGGTCAGCCAGAAAGTAAACCTGCAGCACGCCCACGCCCACGACCACAACCCGTGGAACGAGGTTGCTGACGCCGCCGCCAACCACGGACGTCTTCGAGCAGTTCCAGTGCCCCAGCCAGAGTGGGCAAGCATCATGGACGGCGCATCCCAGCGGGACTGGGAGTTCCTGCTCGACGCGGACCCCAACGCCCGGGAGGCCTACCCCGAATTCGGCCACGGCAGCCTCACAGCCAGCAGGGTCGAGACGACCGCCGAGGCTCGACACTTCCACAACCCCGCCGAGTCCAGCGGCAAGAAGATCCAAGTCGAAATCAACATCGCGACCTTCAACATCCAGTAGGGCCGAGAGCCCAAGGAAGGATCAAAGCGAAGAAAAGATACTATCAATCAGCTTAAGTCCACGATGGCCTGCCTGTACGACGAGGACCTCCACATCATCGGAATCCAGGAGGCCAGGACGCCCTGGGGCGCGCGCGACGCAGGACAGGATGACGATGCCAGATGCGCCAACGCCAACAGCTACCACATCATCTCTAGCGGCCACATGGGATTCAACTACGGCTGCGAGCTGCACGTCCTGCTCAGCAAGCCTTACGGCAAGAGCGGCAAGAAGGAGCTCTACTTTAAAACCGACAACCAGTTCACCGCCATCGAAAAGGACCCCCGGCTCCTTATCGTCCGCGTCACTGCCCCTGGCTTCAACCACGTGCTTGCCGTCGCCCACGCCCCGCATTCGAAGGCCCTCGAGACCGAAAAGGTTCGCTACTGGAAGCGCTCACGGAGACCACCGAACAGTACCAAGTGAGCATCATCTTCTTCGACGCAAGCGCCAGGACAGGTAACATCACCAGCACGGCCATTGGCGACCAGGGCTTCAAGCAAAACGAGGATCCCGACGGCCGCCGCCTCCACGAGCTTCTCCTGCCCAACCACCTAGCGGCCGCCAATGCCTTCGTCAGCCACGGACCCGAGCACTACACCTGGCACTCGGGCAAGGACCCCCACCGCATCGACTACGTCATCATCCCCAAGAGCTACATCGACTCAATCGAAGGGTGCTCCGTGCTCTGCGGCATCGACGGCGGCCAGGACCCAGAAACCAAAGACGACCACTACCCCGTCAAGCTGCAGCTCGCCTATCAGATCGTCTCGTCCGTCACCAAAGGCGTCCAGAAGCTAGACGACAGCAAGCTTGCCGACGAAGAATGCCGCGCAAAGTTCAGCCAGAAGCTCAACGCAGTCCAACACCCGTCGTGGGACACCAACCTCAACGAGCACCTCGCTACAGTCGCCGAGAAGATTACGGGGGCCGCATGCGAGTGCTTCCGCTCCCACGGCCGCACCCCACGCAAGCCCTACATCACCAAGCGCTCCTTCGCCATTCTGCGGGTTCGCCGCTCGCTACTCAAGACGGCACGGATCGCCAAGAAAAAACGGGATTGCCAGCCACTTTGGCGCAAAGAGGCTACGCTACACGGCCAAGCTCATTGCGAAGGAGGCTCTGCTGCCAGACCCCGCCGACGTGGGATTCTCGGCCGACCTCAGCGACTACGCGAAACTAGTGGCGGCCTCCCTCGCACTCAGCACTCCCAGCCTAGCGGCCAGCGCCGAGGCAACCGACGCAGCCAGCACCGTGGATAGCGCCCAGCACTACTTCGACGCCCTCGTTCAATTCCTCAGGACACCCAAGCCTATCCTCCAGAAGTGGATCACGAGAGAGCGCGACGCCTTCCTCGAGATGACCGCCGGCGAGATGGGCACCGCCATCGACGACCACGCCCCTCGAGAGGAGGCCTTGCGCGCCGGGCGACTCCTGGACTTCGGAGGACGGAAGCCCAAGAAGCCGCCGACGCCCACCATCCGCACCAACGACGACGGAAAGCCCCTCACGACGAAGAGCGAGATTGCCGACCACGCCCTGGCCTGCTACGGCAAAATTGAGCAGGCCATAGCCACGGATGCCGACGGGGTAGCCGCCGACTACAACAAGAGGACCTGCCACGAGGGGCCAGCACCGAATATCCAGAACATAATACCCAAGCACCAGCTGACCAGTCAGCTTGCCGCCGCCGAGCGAGGACGCCGAGGCGGCCCCGACCCGCTCACCGACGACATGTCCAGAAGTGACCCCGAAGGGATGGCTCGTCTGCCCCACCCCGTCCAAGTCAAGATCCACTTCGAGAGCGCCGAGCCAATCGCCGCCAAGGGCGGGTACTCCACGTACTTCCACATGGGCCAGGGGGCCATGGAGCAGCAGAAATCCTATCGCGGCATCCTGTTCAATAACACCATCGGCAAGATGCATAGCAGCTTCCTCCGCTCCCGCGCAAAGGGCCTGCTACCCGAGCTCCTAGAAGCGACCCAGCGCGGCGCCCGACCCCAGATGGCAACGGACTTCATCACCCACACCAGCCTGGCCTTCATCAGCGACTGCCAAAGGAGGTCACGATCCTGCAGCATCACCTTCCTGGACCTTAGGGAGGCCTTCCACTCAGTCATCAGGGAGTTCTGCATGCAGCTGCCGACCTCCGCTGACGAGCTCAACGACCTCATCGAAAGCATCGACATCCCTGGCTTTCTCAGACCAGCGCTAAAGGAACGACTCCAGCAGCCTGCTTACAATAACCAGCACATCGACGACGAGCACCTCTGCCACATGATCGCAGATCACCACACCTCCAACTGGATGACGGCCAAGAGCGCCAAGGACTACCAGCTGCCTCGGACCAGCACCCGACCTGGAGTGCCGTACTCAGACGTCGCCTTCAACATCCACTTCGCCATGATCGACCAGGCTGCCCCAGCGGAAGAGGCCCACGGCCAGCCGACAGGTGGTCGCGAGATCGAGGCCTGCAGCGACCCACTCTTCTCGGCGACCCCTCGCGACGGAAGCGCGCTCAGGAACATGTCCTTCGTCGACGACCTCACAGACTACAACGCCGCCGCAAACGCCAGCGACCTGATCAATGCGACGACCCTGGCGGCCACAGGCTCTGCACGGCGGCGTTCCAGCACGGCCTGAAGCCGCGCCCCGACAAGACCAAGGCCATCCTCATGCACTACGGCGCGGGAGCAACGAAGGAGAAACAGCAAATCGCCAAGGGGGGCGCCGCCTACCTCGAGCTGGACGGCCGATCGATCAAGGTGCAGCTAGTAATGCAGCTGATCGCCCGTGGTGCCATCATCGCGGCGGGCGGGGTCATGGGGCCCGAAATGTGCTCAAGAGTCAACCGCGCGCTCGGAGCAGCCCGGCCTCTCGAGAAGCAGATCCTCCGCCGCAAGAAGCTCCCGAAGAAAGCCGAGGTGAAGTACGTCCACTCGGTCTCGACCTCCTCGCTGACATGCAACCACCTCGTGTGGAGCGATTTGACTCAGAAGGACCTAAAGCACATAGCCGCCAAGTACATGGGACCATGCCGCGTGGCTGCCTCGATGCCCAAGACCAACTCGCCCGATCAGCGCATCGCCGAAGCCGATGCGATCGCCAGGACAGGCGTACCCGACTTCAGCCCCCACCAGACGGCAGCACGATTACGATACCTACCACGACTTCTGAACCACGCTCCCGCAGTACGACTCCAGCTTCTCGACGGCCAGCGTCAACGAAAGGGCACCGGGAGCCGCCAGCTGAAGAAAGACTTCGACTTCCTCCGAAAGTACCTTCCAAAAGAAAGGTGGCCCAGCCAAACCCAGCACGACCGCGACGTCATCAACTGGGCCCGACAGGAGCCGAAGCTCTTAACCAACGCGGTCAAGGCAGCGGTGAAGGCCCACATACCCCACACGCGCGACCAGGCTCAGAACGCCAAGATCCAGAAGGACATTCAGATGATCCCAGCAGCGGCCCCCACAGACGAGTTCGACCACCGCGACGACACCAACAATCAGAAGTACGTCTGCTACGCCTGCGGCCGCGTCGCCACCAGGCAAGGTGTGGCTGTCCATATGGGCAGGGATCATCCCGACCGCGCGGACCCGCGCTTCTGGGCTACTGGCGCTGCATGCTGATGCTGCCAGACCGAGCACCGCACGCTCCCGAGGCTCATCAAGCACCCCATCGGTGGCCCACCGCTGCCGCAAATCCTGGCACGCCTGGCACCTCCAGACGTTGGAGCCCCTGACGGAGCAGCAGATCGCAGCGAACTTCAACGCCATCGCCGAGGCCACGAATACTAACAAGAAGCAAGGACGCCACCCGACCTTCAGCTACAAGCCAGCCCGCCCGTGCGATGTCACGCCGCTGCCGCTCCTGGAGACGTCGCCCGCTGCGCCGAAAGTATTCGCCAGCCTCGAGTCCTCGCCAAGAGGGCCACCCGTGAGCTCGCCTGCTGGACCAGCCGAGCGCCAAGGGGTCGTCTTCATCACCGACCGCCCTCGACAGGCCACTGACCTCCAGCAGATCATGGCCAACAGCGGGATCACGTGCATCAGCGGCCTGGGCTACAGCCTGATCGCAATCCACAGCGATGGCCAGTCTCCAGATCCAATACTAGAAATTCGGCGGGTACAACGAAAGATCCTGCACGGCGAGGTCGCGGCCATCTGCGCAGAGTTCCCACGACGGACCTGGTGCCGACAAGACACCAGCGACGTTCTGGGCATCAGAGCCAGTAGGCGGCGCACCCCTGAGGCCCCCTGGGGGCTGCCAGAAAAGCCCGATACTCTCGCCGACGAGATCTTCGCTGCCAGCGGCGTTACCAGAGAGGTCCTGCGGATGCCCTTCGCGGCGGCCACCGCCCGCGTCCCCTTCGTCGCCGCCATCGCGGCCGAGTCGACCTGCAGGCAGACTCCCGAATGCCAGCGCATGGCCGAGCAGACGACGGCTAACGAGACCTCGACACAACACTATGACCTCGGCGCCACACAGATCCTCGACAACGGCACCCGCGACGACCCCCGCAACAGACTGACCACAGCAAACGCGGAGGAGATCGATGTTGCCATCGCCGACCTGCTCGACTGCAACATCGTGGCTAGGAGGGGCCTCAGAACCGCAACCGCCGCGCCGACCAGCCAGAATCTGAACACCATCGACGCATACTACATTGAACGAGAGGACGAAGCGCCACCTCCCGCCGAGGCTGATCGCGACGAAGAGCGTCCCCGACGACAAGCTCAACGGCGTCAGGGCGCAAGTCCTGAGGAAGCCCCGAGTGCGCGGGAACACCTCAGGCAGCGTCGCCAAGTGTTGCAGGAGGCGTTAGGACGCAAGTCCTGGGGAAGCCCCGAAAGCGAGGACACACCCCACGCACAAGTCGCCACGTTTTGTAGTATTGAAGCAGGCAGCGATCGTACGCGCACAAGTTCAGCGGTTACCAGCAATCCAAACGACAGACGACCTCAACGACCGCCAAGCACCACCGACCAACCACCACCAGCAACCTCAAGACAGCCCCACCACACCACTCTACAAGTCCACGTTGCTCAGGTGAGGCAAGGATCAAACTTCGAGACGGGCTCGAAGGGTGGGGGGGCAGGACGAGCACTGCCCGCGCCTACCTGGGGGGATGGTGAGGGGCAGGGGGGGGGGTAGGACGGCCACTACCTGCGCCCCCGCGGTCCGCCCTCGCTCGCCACCCCCACCATTCCCATGGCGGAGACGGAGCTACCCGAGCGCCCGATGGGCGAAGCAAGAGCAGCAAAGACGCCCCTCAACAATGAGTCCGACGACCAACCGACTAACCACTTCAGCACCACCACCCCGTCAACCACGACCATCACCTCGACATGGTCCGCCCGCTGAACGGAGAACAGGAGCAGGGTCCTCAGCAGCGCGGCGCGCTGAAACCACGACGGAGCCAGCTGAAAGGAGGACAGGAGCAGGGTCCTCAACAGCGTGGCAGGACGAGAACGCTTGAAGACCGCCGAAGAGGAGGACAGGAGCAGGGTCCTCAGCAGCGGTCCCTAGCACGAACGCCCGCAGAAAGGAGGACAATAGCAGGGTCCTCAGCTGCGTGGCGAAGCACTGTCCACCACCGACCACGCCAAGAGGAGGACGCGGCGCAACGTGCGCCGCGGCGAGGCCGCCCCCAACCCTCGGGCCGAAGGGGGGTGCGGCCCGCACCCCGTGTAACATACGGGGGCCGCCAGCTCGGCCGAGCTTGCATGCGGCTAAGAAGGTCGGACGCCCATCAGCTCGCGAGCAAAGGAGGGGCGTCCGTCGCAAAGGAATTCGTGGAGGACCAGTTCGGCGCCCACCTGAGGTTGACGGACTGATGGGCTACAGCGCGCCCAGCGGCGGCGCGCTGCAGAGCCCTCACTGAAAGGGCTCGCTGAAAGGAGGCGGAGGACAAGGAGGAGGAGGAGGAGGAGGAGGAGGACGACGACGACGGGGGGGAGGAGGAGGCGGAGGAGGAGGAGGAGGAGGCGGAGGGGGATTTTGGACGATTTCAAGCATACGCCCAGCATGATAAAACATGGTAGAACCATCGTCCCCAGTCTATTATATCACTATTCTGGGGCATTCTCCCTGGACAAGAATAACAATAGACAAATAGAACATGGTAGATCAATGGAGCGGGTTTTTGACTATTCTTGGACACTCCTCCTGTGGAAGGACAAACCCGACTTTAGACCAGCTTCGCATTCTCGCCCTTTCGGGCTCGTGCAAGGAGGCCCTCGGCGGCCCCGGCGCCCCCCTCCCAAGACTGGCCCGGCGACGGCCCCGGCAGCCCCCAGGATGGCCCGCCTGGGGACGGGCCCGCGGCGCGCCCCCTGGACCGCCCGAGAGGCCTCCAAGACGGCGGAAGGAAGCTTCCGAGAAGGCGCCCCTGGGGCGGGGAACTCGCAGGAGCCCCGGGAGCCCCCCCCCCCCCCCAAGGGCCCCAACGCTTCAGTCGGGTCTGTCCCTCTGCAGGAGGGAGAGTCAAACATAGTTATAGAAAAATAGTCTGGGGACGATTTTCGGATCAGGTTTGATCATCTGGGGGGGCATGCTTTGACCATTTTTAAGTTTTCATCCCAAATACCCGTGTATGGGGGACAGGCCCGACCTAAAAGAAAAGCTTTCGAGAAGGCCCCCGGGGCGGGAAACTCGCAGAGGAGGTGGTGGTGGTGGTGGAGCCTTGGGGGGCCATGTCCGATCCGCTTGCGACACCTGCGACCCCTGGGAAAGAAATGGAAGCTGGATGGCGGAACTCTTACCGATCCCACGCCCTGCGGCCTACGGCGCCCGTCTCAGCCTCTCGCTGAGGACGGGAGGAGGAGGAGGAGGAGGGGAGGAGGAGGAGGAGGAGGAGGAGGAGGAGGGAGCCCACAAGACGTCACAAGAGAACTCCCAGGAGCTCTGGAGCGGCCCCCCACCGAGGCCGTCCCCGAGATCTGCAGGAGGCCCCCAAGACACCCCCGGCAGCAGACGCGGAGGACGCGGGAGGAGCCGTACAGTGGCCTCCTCCTCCTCCTCCTCCTCCTCCTCCTCCTCTCCTCTCCTCCTCTCCTCCTCCTCCTCCTCCTCCTCCTCCTCCTCCTCCTCCAACATTCGGGGCCCGACCACAAGAAACCTGCCACAAGAAACCCAACCCTGAGACGCCAGGACGTCCATCGATTTTTGGTGTGGGACCGTCACCACTTGCATGGCAGAAGTATCGAAACCTGAGAAACCCAGGACACCCTGGAGGCAAGCAGGGTGTTACTCGGCATGGGCCCCCACTGTGTGCACGCGGCACGGCGGGGAGCGGCAAACACGAGATCGGAGGCCGATTATGTCCTCCTCTGGGGGGTCGGCAGAAACCGCTTGGTCATCACAAGTGGAGCGGAAGAAGTACGAACAGCGATGCAACAATAGCGAGATGGGAACGATGACAAAACAGGAAGCGGCGGATGGGGGGGGGCGTGAGAAGGGAGATGCGGAGGCGGAGGAGGATGAGGAGACGACGACGCTAATCACGACGACGATGATCACTACGATGACGGCGGCGACGTCGACGACGATGACGACAACGGCAACGATCACCAACGATCACGACGACTCAAACGACAACGAAGACGACGACGTCGATCACGACGACGATGCCCACGACCACAAGGCTGCATTGGCTGCATTGGCGCTTCGCGCCATGCACCTTGTTCCTTGAAGTTTTGGAGCGGTTGGCCTGTCGCGCCTTCCTTTTTTCCCTTTGAAGCGTGCTCGTTGGCTCACATCACGGAGAAGCGGGGAAAGGGAGAAGAGGGCAATCAACTTAGGACGGGCAAAAACTATGAGTCGGAGACCACGGGCGTCCGGAATGGCGTACATGGAAACTGCTGAAGTCCTGGGTGCGCAACAGAATTTCCAGAAAAGTGGTTGCGAACTTGGGGTTGTGGGCAAACTGCGGTTTCCCGAATTGACATACCATCTGAGCGGGCGAGAACTCAGGGATCTACATGAGGGCCTGCCGAAGTGGTGTGAGGGCCTTGTGGCCCATCTCGGAGCCACCTCGGACTGTCCTCGGGGTGTCGTGGGACTGCCGCTCGCCCGTTTGCACGCTTGGGTAAACGTTGAGAAGGCGCCCTGGAGAGCTGGAATTCCTGGGTGGCCCTGTTGAGGAGCGTCCAGACGGTGTCCCTGGGCTGTCATGGAGCCGCCTATGGGCAGTTTGGGAGTCGTCTAGGGCCCTCATGGCGCCTTCCCAAAGAGTGAGGATGCTGATTTTGCTCGTATTGGGGCTTCCCCTGGTCGTCAGGGCGCCGCCCATGGGCAATCTGGGGGCCGCCCTGGGCCCTCGTGGGGCCGCTTTGAGGATTCAGGAAGCGCGTTTGGGTTTAGTTGGAGCGGTGTTCGGAGATTTGATAATGTTTTCGGACGCCAGGCAGGCCGCAGGAACGACTGATAGTAAATCTTACAACATCATTGAAGCACCAGTGTTTTTCAGATTCGAGCGCGTCTTGGAGGTACCTTTCGGGTCGCCTCGGGGCATCCGACGAGGGCCAAATCCAATTTGATGCCATTTTGGATCGTCTTGGGCGTGCCTTGGGCATTCCGCCGGGCCGCCTTGGGGTCAGTTTGGGGCGGTCATTGGACCGCTTGTGGGCAAATTAGGAGCCGTCTTGGGCCTCCGTACGGCTTTTCTGGAATCGGGAAACGTTTTCGGTGCCTCGCCTGCGTTCTCGGAAGCCTGGCAAGCCGGATGAGGACAGAGTCGAAGAGCATACAAAAACAACAGAAAAGTCCAGATGTTCAGGGTTTCGAGCGCGTCTTGGAGGTGGCATTCGAAGCGCCTTCGAGCATCCAGCAAGGGCCTTGACGGCATGATGTCATCTTGGACCGTTTGTAGCGTCTCTAAGGCCTTGCGCCAGCCATCGAGGGTCAGTTTCGGGCGGTCATGGGGACTCTTGTGGGCAGGTCGGGGACCGCTTCGGGCGCTCATGGGGCTCATTTGGGCCGCCTAGGAGCGGTGGTCAGTGCGTTTCCAACGTTTTCGGACGCGTGGAAGGCCGAATTAGCGAGTACCCGAAAATTCGACAAAACCAATGAAACATTTATGTTCTGGGGGGGTCGAACGCCTCGTTGGGGTGACATTGGGGTGATCTTCGGCCCTCTGGCGGGGGTCAAGGCCAGCTGGATGCTATCCTGGACCGTCTTGGGTGGCTCTTGGGCCTCTCGCCGATCGATTTGGGACTGCGACTCGCCTGCGCGCACGCATTCGCGAGGATGTCCGACCTTCCCCCGTGCCACGGATCCGGGGGGTCCCGCTTCGGGGGGGCGGGGTCGCACCCCCTCGAATTATAAAAACATAGAATAAGGAGTTATATAAAAATAGAAAGGGAATGTGTATGTATAGATATATGCGCATTGATATACACGTCAACGTTGGGGATGAATGAGCTCATACTGTACTGGCAGCAGTGCTCATGGCAAAAACGAGCGGTACTGTACCAATCAGGAGACATTCCGCTGCACGGGAGGACATGTCCTCCCGCATGCTCGCGAAGCGCTGGCGCGGCCTGGGGCTCGAGCGGCACAGCGGGCTGCACGGGGGAAGTGGGGGGAGATTGCACATGGCCTGGACATGCAGTCGCCTTTTCGTCGGGGTCATGCTGGTTCCAGTGACGACCAGAATGCTAACATATTCCACTACACACCAAAATAACACTCCAATAGATTGCTTCAAAAAGCTAAAACAATATTCATAAGTATCCAGCAAATACTAACAAAATCGTCCCCAGGCTATGTTTAAACTTTTGTTAAGTCGGGCGTGTCCCCCTGTAGGGGGATTGTCGACGAAAAATAACAAATATTCAAAACAATATTCCAAAATTGGCAAAACATGCTAAAACAACAGTCCCCAGTCTATTGTAAGACTATTTTTGGTGCATGTTATATTCTACATTCTTTTGTCGACCATCCCCCCTGTATGGGGGACACGCCCGATAGAAACTATTCTGGAGCCTTCCTCCTGTAGAGGGGGCCAGGCCTGCTGGCTCCAGTGACCACCACGACAGCGACGAGGCTCACGACGACGACGGGGGGCGGCGGCGGCGGCGAGCGCATCGCTCGCGCGGCGACGCCCTGCCTCCGGGTACGCCGCATCGGCCGCCGCCTCGACGGTCGCGGACCCCTGCTCCAGGGCCTGCCCCCGCGGCGCGCGCGAGAGCCGGGAGGGGCGCAGTGCGACGAGGCCCGGCCGAGGACGAGTCTCGGCTCCGTGGCTGTGCTGACTTCCGAGAGGCGTGGAGGAACCGTCGGCCGTCGGGAGGCATTTCTCAAGATGGGGAATGGTTCTGTGAGCTTCGCTCGAGCAGAAACCAAGCTGCACAGCTCTGATCTGCACCGATTGATTCAGTGCAAGCATCGAGAACCTCTGAGATCTCCCGCAGCTCTGGAGGATGTCTCGGGCGTCGCGGCCTCCTCGGAGCGTTCGTGGAGCGCTCCGAGAGCGTTCCAGAACGCTCTGGAGCGATGTGCCTTTGTCCTAGCCCCACGCGCGAAGATTCGGAAGGGTCAAGCCCGGACGCTCCGGACGCACATCGAGCACCCCGTGCGCCGCAGAACAATCGAGGTCTGGACGGTGTACACAGGCCTCCTTGATGGAGTCCGAGTAGACGGGGTCGGAGGATCGCGCTGCATCGCCGATGCGTCACCGAGGTGTTGGCGACGCATCCAGGATGCATCGGCGACGTCGACGCTGCATCCGCGAAATCGTCGTGGAGAACATCGGCTTCCACATCGAGCCGCATCGCCGACGCACCGCCGACGCATCGCCAATGCGGCGCGATCCTCCGACCCCATCTTTGATGCT